TATATATATATATATATATATACTTATATTATATATATAACGATACTCTTGTAAGGTTCTCATCAATATCATGGGGATGTCAATATCCCTTAACTCAATTGTTTTGTGGGAATATATATATATTATATATATTATATATATATATATTTAACGATACTCTTGTAAGGTTCTCACAATATCATGGGGATTCAATATCCTTACTCAATTGTTTTGTGGCAATAGGTATATCTCCCTGTTCCGTATGATGCATCCAAATGATCGTACATCGGAGTATAGGCATATCAGCCCAATCCGGAAAAACCCTGATCATCTTCGAGTATTGGTACAGCCGCAGTCTCATTACGGGAAATATCTAATACTCCTAGTGTGGTACAACCACGGTCTTATTGCGGGAAAACATCCATACCGTACATCCACAACTGATGAATTATGCGTGATCATGTGTTATACCAACATCTACGAATTTAGATATATGTTGCGCATCTTAATTATGTATATAAACTTAACTAGGAACATAATTCAAGTGTTCGTGCACATATCTCGATGTACGGATCTATATCTCATGTTCACAAATATTTCAGGTGTTAAATAGATCATAAATATCCTAGAACAATGCATGTCAATCGAGAAAAATCCTTCGATAAATAGCAATTTGAGTCAAAACATGCATAGGGTCATGCACATGGGGCAGTCGAACGGCCCTTAGGCCGCGGTCGACCGGCCAGCGGCCAAAAGTCTGGTGACTGTAGTTTCTACAGTTTAAGTTCGTGTGCGTGTTTCGTGATTCTAACTCGATTAACTTGCTGTAAAATATGTATAAAATATTTTAAATACTAAAATAACACCCCTGGTGATTATCTAACACATGAAATAAAATCTAACTTTTTAGATATGTTAATTAAACCCTAAACATGGTCACATTCATCAAAACGTTATGAAAACACCAAATCATAGTTTAAACTCATGTTTAAAACGTTTTCAAATCTATAATATTCTTAGAAAATTTGTTAGTGATCTTTTATAAACAAAAGATTAAACCTTATATCATATACTATGAAAGAAATTCTCTTTATACACAAAATAATAGATTAGGCTCATGAAACCAAAACAAAACTTGTTAAAAACCATTTAAAACTGGGTGTAGGGTTGGAAGAGATGAAACTCACCTAGAATCTCTACTGAAAGCGTGAAGGATGCAAAACCAAGACAAATTCCTAAGCCACACGTCAAAACCAAATCGAAATCCCGCTTCAAAAGCTCTTGAACTCTCACAAAATAAGATCTAGTGTTTAAAAGAGGATTTGGTGGTTGCTAGGGTTTTAAAACTCTAAAATAAGATATGAAAATTTGTGTTCAAGAGGTATATATATCATGCAAGTGGACCTGAGCCTCATAAAACCCGAAACCAACTCAAAACAGGAAAAACTGGAAACCTGTCAGGCAGTCGACCACGAACAAGGAGCGATCGACCGACACACAATTTTCCAGTTGTGCAGGTTTTGCCTTTATGCATGTTTTCGACTCGATTCTTTCACATATACGGACTTGTTTGCACTTAAAACACTTGCTATCATGCTCATACACCATTTAATGATATTTATCACGATAAATATCCACTTATCTCAATTAATCATATATTATTTCAAATTATCACATATTACTTCAAATTTAAGGGGTTTTACATGATCGCTCATGGGCTAAACACTTTGAATGGGCCTAAAGTTAAGCCCACAACAAGCTGCAATGAAGGTCGCTTGACGATTGAAGCGAACCTCGCCAGATAGCCCATATCGACTAGACCGACCAAGTCAGACATGAGTTGACCTTCGCAACACACCTTAGATCAAGTCGAAAGATGTCATCAGTTGATCAAATCACGAGTCGAATTCTGTGTTAAATTTAAACTCTGTAGGCTGTCTAAAAATCACAACATATAGCTGATCCTCCATCAAACACCAATGATGAAAGTTATAATCTGTCGACTTCCAGAAGGCTATAATTTGAATACTTTTACGTAGATCGATAAAGGTTTTAATCTGACGACCTTCACAATAATCGATGAAAGCTCTAGTTCAACAGCCTTTACAATCAATATCGGGAGTTACAATCTGACGACTCTCATATTTTTAAGGAGCCAAGATAAAGATTACAAGATGACAGTCATTGCAACGCTCTAGCAAAAGAGACCACAAATTGATCGTCTCTTCACATCAAAACGCAGAGGTCACCCCTGCGTTTCAACATCAAAACGCAGAGGTCATCCCTGCATTTCACCATCAAAATGCAGAGGTCAACCCTACATTACACAATCAAAACGTAGAGGTCATCCCTGTGTTACAACATCAAAACGCAGAGGTCATACCCATATTTCAGAATCAAAACGCAGAGGTCATACCCACGTTTCAGAGTTAAAACGCAAAGGTCATCCCCAGCGCTCCAATTAAAAACGCAAAGGTCATCCCCAGCGCTCCAATTAAAAACGCAAAGTTTGTGGACTCAAAACACAGAGTTCATCTCTGCGTCCCAACTCTGCATTTTAGATTTAAAACGCAGTGTGACCTGTGCGATCAGCCACCAAAATAGGCCCAACTCTGCGTTTCAAGTCTAAAACGCAGAGTTCGGGCCCTGAACGCTATTTTTTAGCGTTTGACTCGTTCAAACCACATTTGGAGGGATTTCCGCCCCACTTAGGAGCAGATTAAGGGGGCGGTTACATCCCATCTAACCCTATTATAGAGAGAATTAAGGGGGCGGTTACACCCTTAATCCCCAATAAATAGGAGTAAAGTCAATTGAGTTCGGGCTCTCGGATTAATCCTCTTTTCAGCAAAAAAGAAGAGATCTTTTGGCAGATTATCTTGAAGGGAGAGTGGCATTTATCTTGGGAGAGCTCAGAGCATTCTTCGGCAACAGGAGCTTTCTTCATCCTTGGCTTACAAACCGATTTTGGTTAAATTCACTCTTTCATAGAGTTTCAAACTCGTCCAGAGTTCTAACACTTACTTTGCAAGTTCTCCATAGCGTCAAATCGTGAGGAGAAGACCGCGTTTTAGTAAAACAAGACGTTTGGATCGTCAATGGAGAGCAAATTCGACACGAGCATTCGAAGGAGGCACTTCATTGCCACCGTGAAGAACCCAGAATTAAATAAATGAGAGAATTCAGATTAATTCTTCTCTCTTTTGTAATCGGGAAATCCAAATTGTGATCGAGATTGAGAGAATAAAACATTCAATTCTTTCATTGTCTTTTTATAAATTTTCCACCAAACAAACTCGTAGGCGAAGTTCGTCAATTAACGAACTCTGCCCACGTTGACCACATCATCCACTTCCAAAGAAGGCGTGCACACGTTCGAAGTGACCTTCGCCAATGTCTCCAGTGAACTTCGCCAAGTCCATGAAGTTCGCCCAAATAGCTGTTTCAAAGCTATTTTCATGGGATAACTGCTCCCCACTAACTCTTATTTTAACGGCCACTTAATACACAATTAAGGGGACCATTAACTCTTTCTTTTAGTCTATAAAAAGAGAGGAGATCATCCATTTTGGGAGGAGAGAAGAGGGGCATGAAAGCTTTGGCTAAAACAAGCTACACACGCATCACATTTGTGATCCTATTGAGAGACGTTGCTAAGAGAAGACTGAGCTAGCTTCCAAGCAATCTAATCCTCATCAACAGTAAAAGAACCATCGTTTTAATCGGCGTGTCAGCGAAGTACAGGATCGACGCTCCACAGGCACACGGAAAAGAACCCTAGGAAAAAAAATAAAACTTTCTTTGTTTCGTTAACTTTTTTTATTTTGTAATCCGTGTTAATTACAATACAAAAGAACCCGAAACACTATTGTCATTCTTAGAGCAAAGTGAATCACTTTATAATCAGTAATTTTTTGATCAATGATAATGGATGACCATATATATAGTTGTTTGTTCAATTCTTTATAACTTTCAGTTGCACTCTGGTTTATACAATGTCCGAGCAAAGTGTAACACTTTATGCAAAAACGTAGCACCTTATTTTTTAAAGCATTTAATCAAACATGTGGTATGTATCAAATAAAATCTATTTAATAGACATAATCATACAAAATATTACAAATCATCTAAAAATCTTTTTGAAGTATTTCATCAAACACACAATATACATCAAACTTTGTCCAGACATTTTCACATTCGAAACCTTATATCCAAAGTCTAGCTCAATCCAACATAAAAGTAATCTTGTGACTGTAGGCGAATGTGGCAGAGCTTATCTTTAAGCGAGGACATTGTTGAACGTTTGAAGTCGAGACAGAGGATGATAATGATTTGGTTAGAGCAGTCGGCAGTCGAGGATGAACTCGAATTGTTTGAGCTTGTTGGCCAATGAGTGCAGGGACAACCGATGGACTTTGATGTTGTGTGCAAGCTTCATGGTGAAGCCTTTTGTGGAGGAAGTGGAGGAGTGGTAGGAGGAAGAACATAGAGCTCAATTAGGAGGAAAGGGGTTCAAATAGTAAGTTGGAGAGTTATGGAGGAGACCGGTGATTAATGGGGGTGGTGACAAGTTGTTTGGAAGCGAGCAGAGTGTAGAAGAGAAAATGAAGGAGAGGGTAATATGTGAATATTGAGGCTTTAATATGTATATAATGTATACTTATACGTATTATGAAGACTTGAGTATAAAAGCAAGTGATTTTTGGGTTTAACAGGCATTTTATAAGTACATGGGTTTAAAAATAAATTGGAGTAAAACTTTGGGGTAAAAAACAAAAGCCCCACAAAAATAACGAGAATGCTAGAAAAAAAATTAAGATAGCTTGTCATTTTAAGAAAAAGTCCGATTCTTTCTAAGTCACTATGACGACTAAGGTAATATTGAATCGATAGAGAACAAAGAGATGCATAATCGGTTATCTACTGCCACGTGATAAATGAATAGTAATCCTACAGAGTGTCCATTCTCACAAGAAGGAAGAAAGACGGGGGAAAAGGTTAAGAGGGAGATAAAACGAAGCTCAAAAAATTACGATGCACGTATACATTTCCCTAAGTTATCGATATTTGACAACACCAACATAAGCTTGTTATCATCGTATCTATGCCAAATGTACAAATTTTTCACACCAGTCTTGAATAATTGCTCCTTAAGCAACAACTTTCACTTGGGCTCATGATACAAAACATACATACGTCACTCATAAATTATCTTTGTGAGGAGGATTCACTAATTAAAAGGCCTTATTGATTTGCCTAAATATATTAAAACACAAGAAATACTACCCGGCTATGCTTGTAGGCCGAAGACAAGCATCGATCATTTTCCTTATCTCATCAGGATTTGCTCCAATCAACTTCCGTGCAACCTCTCCATCTTTCATTAGTATGAATGTGGGCATTGCTTTCACCCCCATTTTTGAAGCAACCTCCTGCGAAATTCCCAATAAAAAATTCACATGAAAAATATCTTATATTAACCACTTTATCTCTTGGGTGATTTCTTGTATGCTATCATAATTATAATCTAAGTTTCAGTTGCATGCACACAACAACATTCAATTTTCGTTGGATTTGTTTAGTCTGTTTAAATTTTATAATTTGTAGTTTTAGCTGTAGTTGCAAGTGTTTGATTCGCAGGAAGCAAATCTTTGGGATTCTATCAATGGTTGATTGCACTTGGAGTGAGAACTTAAAGCTCATTTGCAGCTCAATAAAAGGTGTAGCTATGACTTATGTTCAAATTAGTGTGAAAATTTTTCGCTCAGCAGAGAGAGAGAGAGAGAGAGAGAGAGAGAGAGAGAGAGAGAGAGAGAGAGAGAGAGAGAGAGAGAGGAGAGAGAGAGAGAGAGAGAGAGAGAGAGAGAGAGAGAGAGATGTAAATTTTCCACTTAAACTAGAAGTCCTTTTGCAAATACATTTCTAATGGTACCTATTACTAGTCAATGTGAAACAAAGAGCATTTGGATTCTTTCCACTACAAAGATGTGATGAAGCAAGTAACTGTAACTGTCCTGGTGGCATGTGAATCGACAAATATGCGCCATAGGCTAGCTTAATTCTCAACTCATAAGAATATTATTTGAGAAAGTTAACAATTTTAACTACATTTGTATTGTACTATTATTCTTACTGTTATTATATTTTGCCTTGGAAAAGAGCCATTTTTATTTTGGAGGAAAGCTAGGACCATTTTTAAGGCCATCTTAGGAGTCATCTCATTGGCAACAGTTCTACTACTTGATATACGTCCATGACCCAACTTATTTCGTGATTAAGGGTATCTATAACTTATGAGAAATTGTTGGAAAATGATACCTTGACTTCATCAACATCTACCACCAGAAACTGTACATTTGGGTAAGTTGTGGCTAGCTCCTCAACGCAAGGGTTCATAGCAAGAGATGGAACACACCATGAAGCTGTAAAGTGGACAAAAACCTAGAAGAAGAAAAACACACAATTAATCAGGAAAAAGAAAATGAATGGTGTATCAAACGTTTTAAGTAGTGAATAAGGCAAGAACCAATCATTTTAACAAGTAGATAATGCAATTATGAGGGATTGTTGTTGCAATATGTTGTCATTTCAGTTCAGACTTGAGATAGTTAAATGCCAAGCACGATTAACAATTAGGCTTTTTCTCTGATCTACATAATCTTATAACTGTAAAATATAACTACGTACATCATACAAATAAAACAAGCGTTACTTGATTACAACGAGTAGAAATATGTGGACTTTCAAATTAGAAGTACATGGATGGATTTTTGTGTATATCCTCTCTATTACCGCTAGACGAGAGGAAGAGACCACTTTTTCCAATCATAATTGTTTCTTATTAGATTGGAGTATTATGATTCATCTTAAATTAGAAGCAAAATTAAAATATCCGTTGTAATGAGAGGAAAGAGAAATTTGAGGGAGATTAAGGCCAGTCTTACAGGGCATCCTTGGTTGTTTGATTGAGCTATGAAGGACTCCCAAGCCTCCTTAGAATCCACCCTCAAAACTTTTGAGTTGTTTTCCTGCTGGATTTCCATAGCCAAGTCCCTCTGAATTCTTACCCTTCGATCTCCTCCAGTATTAATGTAAGATACTGCTTCTGGTAGATATTTAATGGGATGAGGGTTGGAGCGAGTGACGGGAGATTCTGGATGAGGAAAGAGAGTATCTGTTGAATGGAATAACAAGACCCCAACCAACACCTTTGAAAATTTGTTTGAAACTATTAATACTCATATTGTTTGTAATAAACTCACAAGATGCCTTTGTCCATTATTTCTATCTGTCTGATGCTATTTTTGATTAGGTTCAAATTGTTTTTGTCTGCTCATAATAATCCTGGTTATTAGTGCAGTTTACCCCATTCTGCTCGCACATATCTGCATTCACAATCTGTTGGGGGGGGGGGGGGGGGGGGAGGAGGGTTAATTTTTTTATTCACCCCTTTTGAAAGGGGGCTAATCACTTTGTTACCCCTAGTTTTTATTAGCATTTTATACCCTTTACGGCCGAACAGAGTTATCACTTCCTTATTTGTAATCACCACATTAATGCTACATAAGACGTGTTGCAAAGAGATTTTCAAATATTTCACTTTGTTGCAAAAGATCCCATACCCTCTTACACCCGTTGGATATACGCTTACTTATAATACACGTACAAATAACAAAGAGATAATTCTGCTTAAATATTGAAGGACTTAAATACTAAGGGAGATATAATGGACTTTACTATGATATAAGGGACACTTTAAGATAACATTAGAATAATATAGGTTCAAACTCTGAAGAATGGTCATCAGAAAAGAGCAAAATATTTTTAATGCTGGCCCTGCGGTGATTTGATCTAAATAACAATATTTGTACATTGTTAATGCTAGCCTAGGATACATGGTAAGATCCCTGGTTTTTATATGCTTTGCTCACAAGAACTACATTTCACCAAAACTTTGGCTTGTAGTTACATGATTGACAAGGATATTCGCAACTTGGAAGTTATGGACAAAACTAGCTCATCCATTGCAATTAACATTTTTTGATTTGAGGCAGATTAAAAAACTTAATCTTCTGGCAAATCGTACAGGTGTGCAATTTGAAAATTTGGAGCTTATCTTCGAGGATGTACTCAAAACTTTAAGTGATGTGGGAATCAAGAGGTGATCACTTAGCATCCAATGCTAATAGAAAAATGCTCAACAGATAATAACCTTACGCACGCCCATACATTATTACCTTCATAAACTAAGAATTCAGTCTTAATTATTTTATTACAAACTGAACTAAAAGCATTGTTTAATTAATTCGTTAACCTTGCTGTAGATCTTTTTTAGGCTAAATACAACGTTTTGAGATCTAGAAAATCTTCAGAAGCTACTTTACTTTTTCTTAAATTCAAGGATATGACTCGCTACTCACCATTGTTAGGAAACCGACCTAGTCATGATTACTGGGATTGTTTTGTCCCTAGTTAGAGGGTATGGTTATGCCCATAAAATCATGTGCAGGATATTGATAAGGTGGAACCAAATTGATAGCCATGATGATCCCCAAATAATATGAGACGGAGAATTTTCTTTGAGGGGTGTCAGATGATAATCCTCCACTGTTGTTATAACCTTTCAAGGTTTTGATGTGCTGGGATTTTTTTTGAACATGAGACCAGATCAATATGTGTTGGGGGCCGATACGCCTAACTCGTCGCGGAAGCGAATCACCTTGAGAGAAAGTCCTGACTTTTATTTTCACAAGCCAATCTCGATATTTCTGTTTCGATAACGAAAACAAGAACAGAAGTGAATATCTCAGCAAGGTGAAATATACACTCTTCCCAATATCAGATCTAGGTCTGAATATTGAGGAAACCAACCAACACATGCAATAGCCAATACAATAAGTGAGACACAAGATTTACATGGTTTAGCAAACTTGCCTACATCCACGGGGAGGGGTGAAGGGAGATTCCACTATAATGAAGAACACCGACGACTTGTACAACCTACAAGCTCGTCCCAAAGATGAAGCTTTGATTCTTACCCAAGAGAAGATGACATCTTTCTTGTAAAATCCCTCCAAGCACTCAATCTTTTCTCTCCTCAATATCTCACCTTTTAGATCTGAAAAACTCTCTTCTTTTTCTTCTCTAAGCAGCCGGCAAACCCTCTACAGAAACCCTAAAACGAGGTTCTTATTTATATCAAGAAAACAGACCCAAAAAAGGCCCAAAACGGATCTAGAAACCTGTTGTCACTATTCACATGAGACACCATTTGGTGTCTCGCGTGAACAATGCCAAGACACCATTTGGTGTCTTGGGTGAACAGTGCCGAGACACCAAATGGTGTCTCGCACTGGTCATGCATTGTTTATAATTTTTTACCTCGTACATCATTTGATAAACCTCAAATATTGGACGGACACGAGAAAAAAATACCACGAACATCATTAGAGAGATCTGAAACGCCAAACTAGGCCAAATCTAGCTGCACCATTATACCATGGCTGCCTACGTACCCTCTGATCGGGATCAAGCTAATCGTAGTTCTGCTTATTGTTCTCCATATAATTTTGATACCAGTCTCCACCTCACCCCATCACCGCCCTGAAGGGCCATGCCCTCTTGGGCAGATCAACACAGGCTGATATGAAGCAAGTCTAAGCAATGCTGAAACTTGCTACTTGTCGCCAACTTGGTCAACATGTTGGCGGGATTCTTATTTGTATGCACCTTCATGAGAAAAATATCACCTTCCTCTATGATATCTCATACAAAATGATACTTAACATTGATATGTTTAGTACGAGCATGATGAACTTGATTCTTAGCCAAATGAATCGCACTCTGGCTATCGTACGATAAGTTTACACACTCCTGCTCAATCCCCAAATCATCTAGAAGACCCCACAGCAACAATGCTTCCTTCACTCCCTCTGTCATGGCCATGTACTTTGCCTCTATTGTAGAAAGTGCCACTATAGTTTGTAACATCGATCACCAACTAACTAGAGCATAATGTATTCTGAACACATAACCAGTAGTAGATCTTCGTCTGTCTAGATCACCTGCATAATCTGAGTCCACAAACCCATCAATCTGACACGTATCTCCACCAAAGCACAGACCCGTATCAATGGTACCCTTCAAGTACCTCAAGACCCATTTCACTGCTTTCCAATGTATTTTTCTCGGATTCGCCATGAACCTACTGACAACAGTGAATGCCTATGAAATATCTAGATATGTACACACCATTGCGTATATCAAACTGCTAACTGCACTAGCATAAGGTACACGTTCCATGTGTGACTTTTCTTCCGCAGTAGTGGGAGATTATTTACCTGAGAACCTGAAGTGTGGGGCTAATGGAGTCACCACTGACTTAGTACTTTGCTTCCCAGACCTTGCGATAATCCGCTCAATATAACCCTTATGACTCAAGAACAATCGCCGATTTACCTTCTCTCTTCTAATCTCCATACCTAGTATTTTCTTAGCAGCGCCCATGTCCTTCATCTCAAACTCTTTACCAAGTTGAGATTTCAACCTATCTATCTCTACCTTGCTTCTCGAAGCAATATGCATGTCATCCACATACAAAAGAAGATAGATATAATCACCTCTATGAAGCTTTTGAATATAGACACAACAGTCATAATCACTTCTGAAGAACCTATGCTTTAGCATGAAGGAGTCAAATCGCTTGTACCACTACCGAGGAGATTGTTTCAATCCATAGAGTGAGTTCCTCAAGCGACACACATGATGTTCCTCATCCTCAATCTTATAACCCTTAGGCTGATGCATATAGATTTCCTCCTCCAAGTCTCTGTGCAAGAAGGTTGTTTTAACATCGAGTTGTTCCAGCTCAAGAACACTATAAGCAACAATACTCAATAGCACCCGAATAGAAGTGTGTTTTAAAATATTTAATTATTTTAAAATAATTTAATACTAGTTAAAATATTTTTTAGTATTTTAAAATATTTAATTATTATTTTTAGAAGATTATTTGTATTTTTCTCAGCCTTCTAGAATTTTCTATGATTTAAAAGTCCAAATTTTATATTTATTTAAATGAATTTAATATTTATAAATTTATTTTTTGTGGTAAAAATTTTTCGAATTGATCTGTTATGTTATTGGTACTATTACGTATTGTTTAAATAATACGTTGTATTGTTGTTACTATTACGTATTATTTTGTGTATTATGTTATATTATTAATTACGTATTATTTGTGTAATTTATTATATTATTTTAATTATTGCGTATCAACTATCATAGTAGCACAACTGGTGCATTTTATCGCGTAGATAATTATCCTATAATTATTTGATTTTTTAAATATAAGTAATTGTATTTTTATTGATTATTATTGTTTAATTATATAATTTGTTGTATTATTTCTTCCGTTGTGTATCAGCTATTGTATTAATACAACTGATACGTTTTTATTTATAGATAATTATTCCATAATTATTTTGTTTTTTAAATATCAGTAATTATTTATTTTAATTAGTTTTCATTTTAAATACCTAACCCTAACCCTAATTAACTATATATATATATATATATATATATATTATATATATATATATATATATATATATATATATATATATATTATATATATATAATTTATATATATATATATATATATATATATATATATATATATATATATATCAACCCCTTATGTTCACGGATGTAGTTGTCCCCTAATTCCTTTGCTCTCTCCTCTCTCTCTTCATCTCACGCCTCCCGTCGCGCTCACGCCCCGACCCCGACGACCACTCATCCCCGTCGGCCTCCTCCTCATCACGCGCCTCGCCTCCTTCATCCCTCCTCTCCCCCCTGTCGCTGCCCTACACCACCGTCGACGCCCGACCGACGACCGCCGCTTCTCCCCGCTCACAGATCTGCCCTGTCCTCCTCTCACCACCCTGCAACCGCCGCTCACCCTCTGCTGCACGCCTACACCTTCTCCTCTCCCGGCGCCAAGCTTTCCCTCACCTCTCCCCTCCGCCACCCACAGTGCCAGCTCCCTACAGCCCCCACTATTACATCTGTCATGCTTCGGCCACTCAGCCCACCTCCTGTAGCCGCCCAACTAATCGAACCCGCTGCTCCTCCTCCTTTCATTGGCTAAACCGAAGCCAGCTGCG